TTTTTCACTGAAGGGTTAAAAAAGCAAGGTGCTGTCTGATTACAGGGATTTTATCATCAGGGGTGATGAGAGTTTCAATCTTGTTTGCATTTAACTGTAGGTAGTTGTTGTTCAGCCATATTTTGACTTCTGACAGTTAACGAGTTCRGATAGWTTGAAGAACTCAGAGGGTCGAAAGGAACAGTACAACTGTATGTCATCAGCATACAGATKGTAGGACACATTACTGTAACRTTTTAAAWTACCTCMTAAAAAGGTATAGGCACAATAAAAAGAGGACTGGACCCAAAACTRAACCTTGGGGTACCCCACAAGRCAGGGGTGAAACATYAGAGTAAACCTGATTCATAAAAACAGTAAAAGACCGTTCAGACAAGTAAGAGGTGAACCAGTTTAACACAGAGCCAGAAATACCAAAATCATACCAAAAACACACAAAATATCAATCATGTTTTATATATAATATTTTATTAAACATAAAAAGCTTGTCTTAGTTGGTAAGTTTTAGAAAATTTTACTTCAAATTAAATGTTTTTTCATACCTTTTTTTCTTTTTCTATACTCGAAAACYACTAAAAGCAACTTTTCCTGACTGTGAGGGAACCATGTTTGTAACAAGCCATCATTACCGACTACATTAAAAAGAAAACATCTTTTCTTTTTTAATATAAACACCATTTTCAAACCATGAGTCACTTGACTTCATCTATTTCTGTACATATTGTGTGCACACTTAGAGGAATGTGTTTAGTAAATGGGTGCTCTGTGTTATTGTTACATTGTGATCAAATAGGGTCAGGCAGTAAAAGTGTGGTGCTGCAGTGTTTATGTGCACAGATATAGAGGAGATGCTTTCTCTTTTCTGTTAAACTATTAGTGCTGCCAAATGAGCAGTAGTTTAAAAACTACAACTACATCACAAAAGACTATTTTAAACATAGATGTTTATAACAATATAATTACACATGTATGTTTTTRTACAACAATAGCATCGGTTCTCATTGCATTTTATTTTAGTAAACTGTGCACTTCCAGAGATTCTGCATGATTTGCAGACCATTTCCCAATTCAAGGATTTATTTGCACTGAGCATCAGAAGCATTATTTCCTTTATAATACACTGACCACGAGCTGAGTATATTTACTGTTATTTAGATATGGCAACAAAAGGAGTCAGCAACCTAAGACTTATCAGACCAAGGTGTWTATGTCCTGATGCATCTCAAGGTGGTTATGGTATTTATTTATAGTGATTGTAGCCGCACGCAGAACATTGTGTTTATGTTTACAGTAATTACTGCAAAGAGAAAAAWAAATAAATTATTTAATACTTCCCAAAATACACTGGAATAGGGCAGTCACTACCATGTTTGATTAATGTTATAATAATGTCAATTAGGCTATATTCTTAGTATTTCACATAACTGAACCCAAGTACCATCAGAATAAACCTGCTGAATTTCAGCGTATAAACAGCAGACTAACAAACGATGAAACAGCTTTTGAATAAGTTTTGTTGAATCCTTCCAGTAAAGTYCCAGTCTTGTAAAAGTGATGCCAAGGTGCAGTTAATCTGCTCTGATGATATGTCATGACACAAAAACTCGGCAAGGCACTTTAATTTTCCATTAATTCATYAAGTACACAGTTCGTGAGAAAAACCAGTGGCAAGCATTAAACAGATTTACTCTCACTAAAGCTGCAGTATGGCTCGGCTTAAACTCTTAGACAAGTTCCTGACAATTATTTTAAGATCAGTAACAAAAACATTTGCTGCCTTTCATACTTTCTCAAACAGTCTACACCATCCAACACCATTTATTTTCTTGGAAACTCTGGACAAATAAAGACTGGCCAAGTTAAAACGATAATGACAGATAAATGTCTACTCAGAGCTTCCCTGAAGGTTCAGGTAACACTAAAGGCGACTCAGTTTAGCATGTGGCATTAAGGGCTGATCATATCCTCTATGAGGTTGTGTCAAACAGCRACAGCAACATGTGGAGCAAGCTCTGAGTTTTCCATCTTATATATATGCAATGACAAAAACTGCCTCTGACAGGTGGGCAGAAGCTCGGGGAAATAAACTCTAAAGAGCTGCCAAGTTAAATGTTACTGTGTAGTGATGACCTGTCCTAAACATAAGATACAGGCGTCATGGCGTTYACTGTGGTGGCAGACTGAAGGCAAACTTATTTGACAAATTATACCATCTTTTTCCTAAGCCCTTAAAGAATGTATAGTACAAACAAAGCACATTTACTTTACATCCAAAAGAAAGAAAGGTCACATTTTTTCAGAGTGCTTTCGCAAATCACATCTCAAAGTTGAGAAGTTCAGCTTGGCTAAAATCACAGACGGGAAAAAAATGACGCTTTGCTGAGCTCTTTTCATATTAGGGGTGTGACGTCTCTAAAGCATGTTATTAATGAACGAAGCTGCAGGGGCTCCAACCCAAAGGAGCTATCCAACCACAGTGGTGACGAAGCCACATCAACTTCATGTACGGGATCTATGAAAAGCATTCACCCCTTTGGGTGCCTTATTGCTGTCATAAATCAATCAATAGTCAGTATAACAAAAATCATAAAAAACTCCCTTYAATTTAAAAGTAAAATCTAATTTCATTATTACAGAGAAAAATCAGTTCAATAAATATTCACGTCAGTATTGAGAGCAAGCACCTTTAACTGCATTCAGAGCATTAATTCTGTGTGAACAAGTCATCAAGCCACAAATTCTCTATTGGRTTTAGACCTGGGCTGTGACTTGGCCACTCCAGAACACTGAAACCAAAATGATCGTATGAAAAGATCCTCTCACATGGTTTTAAACAAGATTTGAACAAAACACGGCAGAAATTAGCTCTGATTCATGTTTTCCACCATTGTTGAGTAATAAGGTCACACCTGGTTGTACATTAACTTGTGTTAGAAATAATATGTGGTCATGAGGGCAAAACTGATAAGAACAGTAGAGCTGGACGTTTCATTAAACTCCACAGCCTGATGCAGCCTATCGAACATATTCATTTGCATATTTGAGTGAAAGTTTCCATTCAGTCCAACGCATGTCACTAATCTCAAAAGGGGAAACCTAAGTTAAATCTGAAAACTAATTGTTAGGTTTTGTTTTGTACCACGCTTTACAGAATAATAATTTCCTGTTTTGTATTGGTACTGATGTAAAAGGAGGGACAACTTAAATACAAAACTCTCCAAGTAAGTTTTGTATTAATTTTATTTGCTTCTTTATTTTAACTGATATTACTTTTATTAGATGTCACATTACTGTGTGTTAATCACACTTCTGTTGATGAGCAGCTGAAATAATCACACTACTGTGCAGAAGTCTTGAGTCATCCTTTCCTTATCAAAGTAGTCTTGATTAGTTGTTCTTTGAACTTTCTGAAGCTCTAAGTTTTTCTTAGGACTTAAGCTGTTATTACCTCCTCCAGCGGGCGAGGTAATGTTTTTGGTCACATATGTCGGTCGGTTGGCCTGTCTGTGGRCAACAATACTCAAAAACTTGTGGATGGATTGTCATGACATTTACGACACATGTGGATGCTGGCACAAGTAACACACCATTAAATTTTGATGATGTTCYGGATCACGATGCGGATACAGGAATTTTTTTTTTCTTTTAATCCTCTCAGATCGGCAAAGCTGTGATGCTTTCACAGGGCTTCTGTAAAAAACKGTGACAGCTTTCGGTGTTTGGACTTCAAACTTTATAAAAGTAATGTTAAAACCAGATGTAATGATGAATAATTCTGGCCATAATTTGTGCATTTTTACGCATTTGGTGCGCATTTAGACAACGCTCTGTGAGCAGGAAGTGAGTGACTACACCATGAAACCCATTTTTCCCATTTCCTCAAACACACCACATTGTCGATAGCTTGTACACAGATAGATGAAGCTTGAGGAAGAGGAGTGACGCGGTGGACTTCAGAATCTGAGGTTGTTTGTTTGTTTGTTCAGTTTTATTATTATTTAACTGAGGCCAGATCAAGTCGAGAGCTATTTGTGCACCCCTCTATCCACCTCTCGCCAAACTTTGGGGGAAAAAGAATGCGCAGAGTGTGGTTGTGACCGTTGTGTGGTCCTCACAAAGATAGACGCGTGTGTGTCTGTGTGATTAGATGTGCAATGAAAACTCTGCTTTTCTGAATCACGTAGCACTGATGTGAAAGCTTTCAACAATAACGTCGGGTGACGAGTCTGACTTTTTCCCTTTTTTTTTCAAAATTGGACTCCACCGGGAAGAAATTCCGTGCATACTGCCTGCTTAAATGTTCACTACGTCAGAACTTATTCGGCAAATGTGTTTCCATCACTGCTTTTGTGCATTAACTCTATTACAGGATGGGGGAAATTGGACTTGGCGGAGGTTTGCACTCTAGTTTTATTAGTAGTTTAGCACCAACAACATGATGCAGATAAACAGAAATATTAAAGCGACTCCTAAGTGAGGAACAACATGGACTACTCAAATTTACGTTCAACGAGATGACAGATGTGTAATTGAAATAGAATAATTTTAGTGGTCCCTAGCAGCGATAATAAGACATTATTAAGTAGTAATATACAAAAATCAATTAAAAAAATTAGATCAAAATGACTTTATAATGACTGAATTAGACCCACTTTTTGACAGCCTGTTAAATGCAGGGGGAGACTGACACCTGATATTTAACAAACACAGCTTGGTAGGGGAACCCATGGGGAAGCTAACCCACCAAACGTTTACTGGGAAAGGCGTACGTCCTTACACACACCATGTCCGAAGATGGCTGGCATGACTGTGCACTGCTCTAGTATCACACTGTTAAATTTGAATCCATGGGTTTTAGGTAGTGCTACAGACCGGCAGACTATCTGGAGTCGGGGGTGGGGGGGTGGGGGGTATTTTTGAGCCACCTTATTTATATCGGCAAGGGGCACCACATTTCCCACCACTATAAATAGCCATGGCAAATACTTACGTTGAACGTTCATGGTGCTAGCAAAATGATAAAAACTGAGAACTACTCTGAAGTTGAGTGTTCACACACGAGGCCCACCAGATAGAGGGGAACCTGTCCTTCTAATTTACACATTTCTTGGAAACCTTCAGGTGGATGGATTTACTGTAGTGTAACTGAACACCTCTGAATATTTGTCCACACGGAGCTTGTTAAATCCATGACTTAGAGTTAGACATCTTCTCAGTTATTGGAAGTGCTCAAGTCTTGTAAAAATCCTAACGGCCAATTCTAAGTAAACAGAATKTTAAGGACTTTTAAAATGGTAATACAAAGATAATAAAAATACAGAGGTTACAACATTTCTTTGGCTACCAGTCAATGAAAAGCTTTAAGATGATTAATTCAGTGAGACTAATGCCATTATAATTTTATTTTTCAAGAAAATCTTTTTGATTCTGAATGTTAAAAGTAGAAGTCTGCGTGTTGTCAAAACTAATCCAACTAAAGCAGTCTGGAATCTGCTTGAACTTGTTTAACAACATTGTCAGCAGATCCACAGTGCTCTGTCAAAGAGCCATTATGCGTCAGCATACAATTTTAAGTGTTGTTATTCCGTCAAAACACAGTTTCAAGCAGCTCAGCCTTTCAACACTCAGGAATTATCRTACTCACCTCATTTTCACCTGAATTGTTTACTGTATTACTTCCTTTACGTCTTTTATTAAAATCCATAACAGAGCTGGAAAACTTTGCAGGGCAGAATGGGGACAAATGAATATGTACATGTGGAGAGCACGGGCTGCTGAGCTTTGAGTTAGAAACGTGACATGAAATTCCACTGTTAGGATAGGGCACCTCAAGGGAAAAGCTCCTCTGTATGGCCTGATGACAGTGCTTTCTATCAGGCCTGAGCTGATCTTTTCCTGATGAATGGTCTTTATTGTTTTTCTCTGATGACTTAGTTGAGGAAAACAAACAAGCAGAGGTACTGCGATACAGTTTTTTGTGAGTGTCGTCTTTAAGTCCAGAGTTTTCAGTTGAGGAATGAGTTTCTTTGACTGCAGCCATTGTTGTGGCTCCTGTCACAGATATCAGTGGTCTCTGATGGGCAAAATGCAGCAGGACGCTGCTAGAATGAAGATTAGATCTGTCAGGAGCTGATGACAGCTCCGTCACCACATTCTTGTCCTCTGCTTTGCATCTTGGTTCATCCTGTAAAGGGATATTAAAGTGCACCATGTGTTTTGTGTCCTTAAGCTCAGCCGAGCAGCTTCCTTTTATTTGATGATGACCATTTTCAGAAGTCGTAACTCCCTCTTCCTCTTGTGGGAATTCACAGGAAGGTGTTTGATGATGTGACTGAATAGATCCCCTCGGTGGTAGGTGAGCCAACAGAGAAAGAGGACCTACTGGGGAGGCAGGTGGGGTGCTGCAAGGGCTCTTTGGAATTATAATCAAAGAGGAGCAGCGTCTCAGCGGGACCTTGCACTTGTGGCGAAGTGAAGTCCTCTCCTGGTTCGTCCTGTGCTTTTCTGGAAACTCCGGCTCAAAGATGCTGTTGCTGCTACAGTAACCTGCATCACTAGCCATGCTGCTGTTGCAAGAGCCTCCGTCAGAGCCGGAACCAGTTCCACTCTCACCAACAACAGCTGTGTCTCCATCMTCTATGCTGCCGTCCAGGTCTCCACTAAGTTTTCCACAAGGCTGCAGCGAGATTTGCAGGACATTCTTCTTATTACACCCTCCAGTGTTAACCCTGGGTATGAACACTGAAGAGCACTGACTGCTGGCAAAGTCTGGTGACAGAGGAGTCACCTTCAAGTGGACAGAACTGTGCGCCAGACTCTCTGCGGGGCCATGAGCTGACACACYGACTCCGTCTTCACCGTGGCTGCTGAAACTTTCCGACAGGGGGTCCGTGTTGCTTCTTCTTGACRCAAAATGCAAGCGGAGCTGACGTGACATTTGTTTAACTCTCAAATCCCCACAGAGCTGGTGAGAGAACCATGATCAAACTCGCTGGTAGAAAAAAAAAAAGAGAGGGAGAGCAAAAGCAACTGCTCCACACACTGCTCTGTGATCACAATCATTAGTGGCTGTGCATTGCCAAAATAGCTCTGGTGACAAGCTACATTCCTCTCGAGGCTGATCTCAGCTTTTAGTCAGGGGTGGCCACTAGTTCTGTTTACAGACATGACCCAAACACATGACCTTTGAAACTGAAGTGTTAGCCCCTTTAAGGAGATAAACCCTAAACAGAAAAAAAAGGAAAAAAGAAAAACAACAACATGCTGGATCTTAAACTAAGCTTGGCAAAGTTTAAAATTAGTGTTTGGAGAGTCTCTCTGGACCCCTGCTGCTGCTATGCTACTAATGTTTCTGCTGCCCTGTGCCCCCGCAAATAGTTTTACCCACTGCTATTRAATTACAGGAAATCAAAGGGGATGAATGTCAACAAAATTATGTATCAAAACGACAACTAGGTTGCAAAAACATTGCACCACACACAAACAAAATGCAWCAGCCTTTGAAAATATCACAAGGAATCCAAATGCAAACTTATTTTATGCAGAAAATCTGTGAGATACTGAGAGAAAGAAGCTAAACCCATTCATATCTGCTCGATGAGGAAAACCAAGATATAAAAGAAGGATAGATGACATGATAATGGTTATATGACACCTCATGTATCAGCMASTGCTGCTCTGATTTCTTCTCCGTGGATGCTGTCAGACTAAATTTATTAAGGACAACCTATTGTGAGCCTGGCTGGCCTACTTCAGAGCATTACTCTGTTTCCAAATCAGTTACAGAGGAATGTTTAGTAGTATGAGACACAGCCAGGATCAGGACATGATTCACTGCAGGACGTTGTTACAGCAGAACTCATAACCTATATTTTAACCAGCATGACTAAAAACCTCGTGACTGGGTATTAACCAATTTTACAGTCAGTACTGATAAGTGATTGTGATGGTAATCTGACAGCAATAAAACTGGTGAGTCAAAATTATGGGATAAATCTTGTGCCAGCAGGAACTGAATTTGAATTGCTCAGATTGAATTTGAATGTGCATAGTTTGAAATTGAATTCATTTGTTTGAAAACAAATTTCACTAAATCGAAACTGAATTTAATGACATGAAACTGAATTTAACGTTTTGAATTTGAATCAGTTTGCTTTGAAACTGTATTTTTGGTCTATTAAAAAATTCAGTGTGACTGCTTTCACTTTCAGGTCCATAATTCAATTTCAGTCCCAAAATTCAGATTTTTGTGTCACATCCTGGTCCTTGAGAAAGCCAGCCAGAGTAATCAAACACAGATCCACAGATTTATGTTTCACTTTGGTGAAGTTTCCCTTCTGTATGTAACAGAGTTGATGCAATCCACCGTAAAAGTGACACAAACAATACAAAAACACAAGTAGTTATTTTATTGCAGTGATTCATTTTACCTACATAAAATGTTACATTTACATCACATCATGCATCAGTCAGCAGCAGCATCTGATCAACATGTGATCCATGATATCATATAAATGTAACATTTATATCATGTTATGGATCACATGATATGATATAAATGTAACATTTTCTATATATAGGTAAAATTAATCACTGCAATAAAATAACTATGTCTGTTTTTGTCACATTTATGGTGGATTGCATCAACTCTGTTACATGACAGAAGGCTGGCACAAGATTTAACCCATACAAAATGCCCATACATAACAACATAATAAATCAACAAAAATGCAAAGTCTCCATCAGTCTAAACAAAAAATAATTTTTCTGAGGATGAATATGTGGTGTAGTTACTACAAGCTGATTTAGTAGGGYGTAGTTTGAGAAATGTCCATCTGGAAGGTGAAGCAGGAATGAGGTGAACTAACAAATTACTCAAATGTGGTCATTTATTTCTTGATACAAACCAATCAAACTCAAAATCATTGCATAGAATCAGCTGTTTGCCTACTTTGCCCCATAGAGATGGAGTAAAAACAACATAAACAAGTATCTAAATTAACAAATGTGTATAAAAACTCCCGGAGGAACAAAAAACAAGTATATGGTAGAAATGGGCACCAACAACCCTGAGAACAAATATTAAAACAGAGGATGTTGGGAGAAATTGGTTGTGTGTGTCCTATAATTAGATTGGAAAATCATTTGAAAGTTTCATTAACAATAAAGAAAAGTAAAGATTAGTTGAAAATCTTCACAGCTCAACAAAACCAAAATTAGGTCTTATTGGTCTCTTTTTACAAGACTAGTACAAGACTATTATTGTAAATGCATGATACATTTATAAAGTTCTAAAAAAACTAACAAGTAGAAGAACCTGCTTCCATCTTATAATGCTAAAGCACACATGTTTTATATTATCTTTCTATAATAAAAGCTACATCTCAAATGATGTTGTGCTACAACTAAACACCAGTGATTTTTTTCTGTTGTATAATCTGAATATTAAAAAGGAAACTATGAAACAAGACTGTATAAGGATGGGAACAGTATGTATAAAACATCAACAGGACCAGTTTTATTCAAAATGCTGCTGAAAAGACAAAAAYGAACAAGCATCATCTCATTTAGATACAGTTCTTGGTAATTCTGAATAGCAGCAACATGTACTCAGAAACACTGTCATAGCACTGACACACCCTCCTACTGGTAAGTACTACGAAATCCACCTGCAGCAAGACAGGGCAGACCTGAGTCAGTCACACCCAGGTTTATGTTATCATGTGACCGTACACATGTGATAGGGTGACTCAGACCAGACAAATTCTACCAGACCAAAAAAATAAAAAATCATGCAGCCACAAGAGAACAAAGATTATATCTGCATGTTCTATTTTATAACAAAACAACTTTCATGAACGCCTGAGTCAAACCTTCTGCGACAAATTCAAGAAACTACTAAGRAAAGAATGGCACAAAACAGAAAAAGAACAATCAAGAACAAAACAATTGCATGATGGTATGAACTGTTACGTGCTGAAGGTCTTACATATGTCACACACTGCACAAGTTTATCTAAACTTTCTAAAAAAACGGTTATACATGGCCGTGCACAGACTTGTTCTTCTAGGAACTCAACGTTCCTCTTCTGGGTAATTACTGAACAGATTGAAAACAACTCCAAGCCATATGATCCACCGGGAAAACAAAGCCAAAGCGTGGCTACACAACTCACTGAATGTGTCTTTGTTTGAACTTTACATTTACCTTTATGAGCCTTTTTGTTTCAACTATAAAGCACAGTTTAATCGACAAGTTTCAAAGTATTTATATGCCACTAAGAACTCAAGATGATATCTGGTGTATCCAAACTCAGGACTTCACAACTGTGTTGACATCACACACACTTCCAGACACTTAACGGTAAGTCTCAAGACAAAAAAGGTGCCTTCASTGAGTTATTACTATTTATGTATGACAAGACCAGCTGTGCATCTGATCAGCATGAAACTGGATCAGCAGCTCAACGGATATCCTGTTTATGACATTACTGCTGCACTAAAAGCATTAGCAGTAAGAGAATTCCAGATTCTGGTTATCTACAGTCAGTTCCGTCTGCCATTTCCTGAGGGCAGCGCCACACTGGCAGCTAGATGTGTGTGAATTGTGTTTGTGGGACTTTTTGGAGTTTCATTTTAGCTGTAATGTTGACTAATTAAAGCATTCACACAGACTGCATGAAAGTCATCTCAACGCTTACCTAAAAGGTTTGGACCTGTTACAATAATGATCTAATAATTTTACATGGATTGGTCTCAAGTTACAATCATTTTACAAATCAAATTAACCAACTTTATGTATCAAAACTGTATAAATGTATACTTTAACAAAGCCACTGYTTTGTAAAAACAAAGGCCTATCATATAGTTTTAAACTAACATCAACTTGTGAATTCATGTTATARTAGCCATTTTGGTTAAAAWTTTTGAATGGCATATTGCAAGATGTGTTAGCAATCAATATGTGTTGGTAATGACTCTCAGCTACYACCACATCAAWCTTAAGCTCAAYATCTGTAAATTTAACTAGTCTATAGCCATTTTTGTGTTTGCTAAGGTCAAATAGCTGTGGTGGCGACATTAAATTAGGTTGGTGGGCTCCAAAACGTAATGAGTTGAAGTATGAAGCCACAGTAACTYAAACAACTCTGAGTTTGAATCTTTTAAACCAAATTTAAAATAAAATTAAACAGCTACACAACAAAATTTATCTCCATGTGTGACGAATGACTCTTAATCTCTACCTACAAAGGCGTTAGGATGTCCTTACCAAAGCCAGATTTACCCTTATTTACAGTTGTGAGTAATAYGGTATATTTGGTTTCCAACAATATCCCACATATTGTGGCAAAATAAGGGCCCTGCATATTTAACAGGCAGTCAAACCAAAGTCAGTCCTGCACTGACTGGAGGAAACCCATATCTACAGAAATGTGACACACACTTCAACATTCCTAGTGTTTGAAGCCAAGACAAAGGCTTATTTGAGACGGCCATTTGTCTTGCAAAACMAATCGTYTTCCATTTCAARAYYGACTGTCAGTCTGTGCTGCACTGCAAGACTGATGTGGACTAACGAGAGACGATGGATAGTTCAGACACTGGGAAAAAAAAGATTTAAACTAAAAATGGATCAAATGAATCAGTCTAAGAAACTTTGCTCTTACACAGACACCTAATCTTCTATAAAGTTTATAATATTTCTTAAACACTGCCAGAATTTTGAGTGATCCAAATCATGTCTCCATTCATCTGAGATGATGGTAATCTACAGCTACTCAGTTCAGCTGTGTTCTTTGCTTTAGATTAGCCTAACCAGATGTTAAAAGCAAAAAAAGCAACAGTGATTGCAAAATAAAAATGTGTCCAACAATGCAAAAATAGTTTATCAAGCTTACCAGTCGGTTTTCGTCAAACACCTCAAACAGCAGCCGATGCTTGTTGGGAAGCACCTAAAACACGAGACGGGTTGTAAAATGATCAATCAGGTTGGTTATGAAAGAACTAAAAATAATTTTAGATTAACGCCAACAAGTTTTCAGTCCTTTAATGTTTTT